TGAAAAAATTCCCGAGATCGGGTTTTCAGTGGATCTTTGGAAAACCGGCTCCGTTCTCAGAAAACTAACATACAATGTTAGTAATTCTTTTGCATGCGTAGATAGTTCGGACGTTGCTCTACAAAATTATGCGGCTTCCGGCTCTCTAGCTATTGTCGTTCGGGCAAGGCTGGCTTTCCCCGAGCACGTGTCTATCTCCGAGCAGACATCTCTGGGAATCTCAAAATGCCATGGACTATAGGTAATCGAAATGCCATGGACTAGGCTGGGCACTGAATTAAGGTTTTCCAGAAACCTTCTGAAAAACCTCAAAGCATCAGTGTTCTGCTGGATCACTTTTTCGGCGTGGCCAACAACATATGGCACCTTTTAAGCCTTTCCTGAAAATTTCTAGTAACAGGCGAAAAACCGGTTTTTCACAACAATGCCTCGGGCGAAGTTATATTCATTTCTACATAAACAAATGTTGCCACTATGCTCTGCGTAGTCGATTACCTATAGTCCATGGCATTTTGAGATTCCCAGAGATGTCTGCTCGGAGATAGACAAGTGCTCGGGGAAAGCGAGCCTTGCCCGAACGACGATAGCTAGAGAGCCGGAAGCCGCATAATTTTGTAGAGTAACGTCCGAACTATCTACGCATGCAAAAGAATTACTAACATTGTATGTTAGTTTTCTGAGAACGGAGCTGGTTTTCCAAAGATCCACTGAAAACCCGATCTCGGGAATTTTTTCAAAAGTCGCTTCCGCTTGTGAAAAGTTCTGCTCGAGTCTTGGCTATTGAACAGCGAAAATTGCAGATCTCTATCTCAGTCCTATCAAAAGTTATTCAAAAAATACCCACGGGTCTTGTATTTTGGGATGGATAGTAGTACATGTTTTTACTCGATTCTTGCATTTTACTCCGAAAACTAACATTGCCATGAGGCCGTGGTTGGTAACCTATGTCTTCACGTATTTCTTACAGTTCCAGATTGAGGAATGAAGAAATCCCAGGGCATCGGGAAAAACGTCTGAAGTTCACTACCCAAGCAAAATGAAACTTTTGCTTACTTCTTAGTTTGTGGAGAATACTTTGGACTATTCATCTATAAAAGAAAAACGATACATTACTGTATTGATGTTCAGAAATCTGAGGTGGTTTTCTAAAGATCTTCTAGAAATCCGATCTTCCAAATACTTCTGAAAGACGATCTGGTTTATGAACAATAAATGCCAGCATTCAAAATTATGGCATTATTATGAAAATAGTGAGTTTCTTTTCTTGTTAGTCTGAATTTTATTCAAACGTTTTTGTAGAAGATAAAATAAGATTATGCATATCTTTCCTGCTGTTACTTTTAACTATGAAATATTAATATAATTAGCTAGATATTTTATTTAAGAGACGAAGTTTAATCTCGATTAATAGACAAGTGTAGCGCTAGTTAAGTTCATAACATAAGCGTTATGGCAAGTATCATATAACCAAACACAGAAATTAGCATCTGGTAGTTCAGTTAGTGTGCGTTGACGTTCACCCTCTTTTCCCAATCGTGCTCCCATACTTCGATTTTCTGACCGTGGTACATATCTACCGTAACAAAGCATATCACGAGTATGATCAAAGTCAAGGTGACGACCAGGATTCTTTTTCAGTTCTTTTCTTCCCCACTTTTTTACACGTTCTTTCATTTCTTGATGAAAAGGTGCATGTGAACAGTATAAATTGAATAAATTATAACTATATTTCATTTGTCGATATTGACGACCATGAGTTTTTTCTGGTGGAGAATAGGCATGTATTCTTGCTTGTGGAGTTTCGTTAGAATGAGCATTTGCATAATTTTCTGTAAATTTTATATGATCAATATTTAAACAGATGCCACCATATACAATTATTGTTGATGCCGATGGTAATTGCGAATGTAATTTGCCAACATAGAATGCTTTCGGTACCCAATCGCTATGAACATTTTTCATTTGAGATATCCATTCATCTTGTTCCTTTTGTTCGATCACAATTGTATTACGTTTGAGATTCTGTAGTTGTCTCTTCTCTTTTTCTAAATAAATATTATAGGCTATTGTTGAAATTTGATTATCAACAGAAATGTATCTTGTTTCATTATTGATCAAAGAATTTAATTCGTTTCGTATTTGATTTTGTATACTAAATGACATTTGTCTTCGTGTATCAATTTTTTCGAAATATCAATCATTTGTTGAATAAGTGATTGACGAAATTTTGTTTTTGATTCAGTTAGTGCATCCTGTAGTTTTGAACGTTCTTCATATGACAAATCATACAGCGAATTTAAACCTTGACGTTGTAATAAATTGTCGAGGTGTTCCTGTTGTTCTCTTGTTTTTGTTACATATTCTTCTACAATTTTTTCACAAATGTTTTTAACACCTATTTTATATGTTTACCAAAATCTGACTTAGTCATGCTTTCTGTTTTATTTTTAATAATGCCTATCAATAGTCGATAAGCCGTTGCTAATTTTAATAATTCTTTTAAGCGTAAAAGTTCTGGAAAATATAAACCAATTTCATCATAATGTTTTGTAAACTTTCTGGCAAATTTAGCCTCTGGTGATGTATCACTTTCATCAGCACTCTCTTCAGCATCAATCAATTCTCCACGAGCATTTCGCGTTAATAAATATTTTTTAACTATCGTTCTAACGTCATTGAAATAGAATGTTATTATATGTTCATCATCATCATTCTTTTCAATTAGTTTACATTCAATAGGTGATGAATCAATTCAAAAACGATGCGCCTGATTCATTTGAACATTCCGTATCTTGTATTCGTGTAACGGTTTTAAAATTTCTCGTAAATGATCTGGCAAACGTTTTAGTAAGCCATCATGTATTGATCGTAGATTGTGTGGTGGTAAGGGATTAACTTCAATGCCGGTAACAAAAAATTTTAGACGTTTGATTTTGGTTCAGGTAAATAATCACAATTACCTGTTGATATATTAATTTTTATGCCTTTAACAGTAGCATACGTATTTATTTCACTATCAGCCTCAATTTGTTTCAATATCAATTTGTGTTTTGTTGACAGATACCATCCATCTTTTGTTCGTGGTATCATTGGCCAATATAGACTAGCCGTAATTTGTTCATAATGAATTTGTTTCGTATGTAATAAATGATTCATTACGTGTTTACGTGCACGATCCCATGATGATTCATTATTTTGCCACACTGGTTTAACTTTCTGTGATTTCTTGATCTTTGTAGTCATCTCCAAGTACATGGGAAGTAGAACAAAAACGAAATATTCGTTTAAAAAATGAGCCAATTCCACCACTAACAGCTGTGGGAGGCTTAGCCGACGGTTGCATAGCAGCTGAGTTGTCATTATCAAGTACGACGTATTCAGGATCAGTTTCGTTCTGGTCTTCAACGTGCGTATGCTCAGGTAGTGAAAGTAGTAAGTCTAACCAACTGAAAGCATTGCCTTCAAGCATATAGTACAACAATTCATCAACTGTTAACAGAGCTGGATTTTCATTTCGAGTGAATGATGGCAACTTGTTGGCGGTTGCGGAGCCATTTTTATTTAATATCAAATTTAAACAATTTTTTGCTATTTGTTGATTCTCTACGAGATACTTTTCATAATGACAAGTAATTAGATATTGTGTAAATTGTACGGTGAGCATAATTATATAGACATGATCGTATATAGGACAAATGGGATAAGCTAAAAACGGTAGTAATGATATTATTGACAGTATATTTCGAATACATTCACCAGCTAATGATACATCGGAAAGTGAATAAATATTCTTAATTTTGTATTTTAGTGAGAAAAATTCAGTTGATTTCATTAATAATGTTAAAATAAAACGATATGTATACAATTGTAAACTGGGTGATGCACAACGACTAAAGTAGTATGCTATATTAAGACAATCACTAAGCATTTCTTTGCAAGCGTAAACATAGTTGATATCGTTAGTACAATTATTTTCCATTGTATGATACCAGCTCAAAGCTGACAAAAGCCAACAGGCGATCATTGATGATAATTCTGGTGCCGATGATGCCAAATCAATATAGTGCAAAGCTAATTCAACGTAAATACCTGATGAGTCTTTCTCAACTTTTTTTCTTAGTACTTTGCCCCACTTCAATAACATATTAATATCAGGATTTGAGCTTAATAAATTAGCATACATATCCTCGTGGAAAAAAATAGTTGCATACAGTATTTTTAAGATATTTTCCTTATGAAAATATACTTTTACAAAAATGATCACATATTCTAATAGCGCTTGGAATTCTCTACAATTCTGTATATTTAAATCCGGTCTTGCATTTATTTGCTGAAAAATACATTGAGTGCAATGACGGGCCCCTCATCGTCAAATTCCCAGAAATTATAATGAGTGTGGCATCTCAATATTTTCTATTTTTCTCGTGTTTCTTTAGGACCCAAAGTTTAATGCTTTTTTAAAAAGATGCGCCGCGAAATGCTCTACAAAATCATACCTAACCTTTAATTTTAAAGCTTCAATCAAGAAAACTACGCAGATTATACGAAAGATGAAAAAAATGCAAACTTTGAAAATCTATTATTTTTTTCCACCTGAATCTTTTTCTTTTGCCACTATTTCCGTAAAAAAAGGGTTGCAAAATTGAGAAGTCAGTTCTTTTTGTACTTCTGAATGTGTTCTTTCTCGTGGTCTGTAAAAAAATCTTTTAGAACAGATGTTGTGGAAAAAACTAAAAAAGTAGCGAAAAAATGCACCTTTTTGGTGCTTGTCACTTGGATTGCCTGTACTCAAACTATTTTTCAGCAAATAAATGTAAGACAAGACATAAATATATAGGATGATAGAGAATTTTAGGCGCTTTCAGAATATATAATTACTTTTATAAAAAGCAATTTGTATAGTGATGATAAATTTAAAAAGCAAGTTGAAAAAATAGTAATAAAATGCAGTCCGTGATAATCTGATAATGTGGGGGCCGTCATCGCACTCAATTTGGTTTTCAGCAAATAAATGCAAGACAAGATATAAATATACAGAATTGTAGAGAAATCCAAACGCTATCAGAATATGGGGTCACTTTTGTAAAAGTATGTTTTCGTAAGGAAAATATCTTAGAAATACCGTGTGCAACTATTTTTTTCCACGAGGATATGTTTAGCTACGAATATATCAGTTGATAGTGTGAATACAAATGAGCTAAAAAACCGTAAATAGCATCTAAAAAGTTGTAGTCATTAATTACTTACCAAAGGTGATTATTTTCTGTTGTTTCGGAGAGAACAAAATTATCTAAATCGTTAACTAATTGTCGTTGTATATGATAGGAAATATTTGTCTTACTAATGATTTTATAGATTGCATTAAAACAGAGATCGTCACCGGGCATTAATAATAGAACATGAAATAATTCTTCATATGCAATCGTATATTCACTGTTCAACAGATGATAGCTAGTGGCGGTAGCAGGAATTGCAGCCAGGGTGGACTCAACCTGACTGTACTCGGTCAGGTGCAGGACCGAGTACACCAGGACCTGGGTGTACTTCGGTCAGGGAAAGGAAAAAGGCTAGTATTTATTTTTCCCAACCAAGTTAATTTCTCTTTCTACCTACGCCGCTCTTAAACTTTCGTACAGACAAGAAAAGCTACAGAAAAGAAAAAAAAGTTTTTCAGGGTGGGCTGTTTCATACGCCATGCGATTTGCCTAGAAACGTGAAAAAACAGTATGAACCGCTTTATTTGATAATAGGGTTTCTGGAAGATCCGACCGCTAGAATACCAAGTCTTTGAATTTTGGTTTTCCAAACAATATAGTCTGATAGAGCAAAGAATTCTGAGCAGAATACAATATCTCCCGGCTGTCTATAACACCTGTTCACCCACTGTAGTCGATTTACGAATGGCTACAAAGGGCGTGAAAATCACTAAAGTATTCCCTTGAAAAGGTGTTATAGACGACCGGGAGATATTGTATTCTGCTCAGAATTCTTTGCTCTATCAGACTATATTGTTTGCAAAATTTTTTGACCAAAATTCAGAGACTTGGTATTCTAGCGGTCGGGTCTCCCAGAAGCCCTATTATCAAGTTTTCTCATAAAACGGCGATATGCATCTCATCCGACAGAAAAATCTTCAGGCTATTCAAAACAGTATTCCGATTTGTTTCAGCTTTTACTGAAAAATAAAAAGAGTTCTTGTGATCATGGTACACTGTACTGCATATATACCACCCAAACGCTTCTTTTCCATATATTTAACGACTGGCCCAACCTGTCTAGATATTCCAACTAGCTCAGTTTGTAGAGACTTTCATGGGCTATCCAATGGTATTCTTTTAAAAAATATACAGTTTCTCATTAGGACAGAAAAATGACTAAACAAGTGTTCCACAGGCGTTTTCCGTACGTCCAACGCGTTTTTTGCATGTTCCTGATGACCGGACCGACCGACCTAGATTGTTTGGCTAGCTCAGTTTGTAGAGAATTTCAAGGGCTACCCAACAGTATAGTTTTGAAAAATATATGCGAAGAAATGAAAAATTTATCGAAAAACGACTTGCCCGATTTTAGGCCAGAACGGCTAAATTTTAATAAAATTCAAATATCTCAAGAACGAGAAAAGTTTTTAAAAAAAGCGATTCATACTTTTTTTTCACGTTTCTAGCAAATTGCATGGCGTATGAAACTTGGCCTCATGTTTTAATCAAAGAGTTGCGATAGGTTTGCAAAATGAGGGTCTCGAAACCGAAGATTTATCGGTCCCGTTTCGCGCCGAGCAAATATTTTTTGGTATTGAACCTTCAAATACAGTTTTCTAGATGCAGTTTTCAGAGCTGAATAAAAAAACATAGTTTTACGGCTTCGAAATGAGGCGGAACCAAGTTATTCAATTTTTAAAAAAAGTTAATGGTTTTTCGAAAAAAAAGATCGTTCAAGTTTTTTGGATTTTTTTCACTGATAATGTGAACTGGAAAGACTAAAGACCAGATACTCTTGATCAGCGTTAAGTTCCCTATCGAATGATGTATGATTAAGCCAAAAATAAAATAGTACTATAATTTTGAATTTGGAGCACCTTATCTTACCATGAATTTTCTATACCTGAAATTGATGCACCCGCTGAACAGCTGCATATGAGGACGAACATTTCATACTGTGAGCTATTCTCGTTGAGCTCTACAAAATGGTAAAAGTCTCTATTCAAACGGCACGTGGCACCTGGGAACGTTCCCTCGTGAGTCTTACCTATCAATCAATGTAAAAATTACCTTAAAATTCATTAGCGTTAATTAGTACTAATTAGTTTTTAGCGAGCAGGTACCGACTCCGGGGTAATTATGATCAGTCAACGTATACCGTTGGGATAATTTTGATCAGCACAGCCAAAATGGCTGGGATGAATTTAAACAACTTCACTCTCAAAGCGAGCAACTTTTTTCGAATGGTTTCACAAACATTAAAACATCGTTTTGGTATAGTTTTGTGTAGTTTCAAATACGCTATTTCTCGTCGTGTACTCTCTCACTCTCGTTTTTCAACAACTATACAATTTTTATCATCACTCTTATATATTAGTTGTCAGACTTATTAACTCTTATATCTCCATTTTCAATTCTACCGCAGTTTTCGTTCATCAATAGTTTTTATCTCTCAGTACTTACATTACTCAGCACTAATATGTGAATTTCACTTCGAGGTCACTCAGTTTTTGTTAACAAATAAAATACAAAATTTACACTTAATTCTCCATATATTATATCTCGTTCTCCTTCTTCCCCCTCTCTTCGTCATACCATAGAATTCTTACTCTTCTCTGATAGTGTGTGCGCCTATTTAAATAAAAAGACGAAGAAAACATTAGGTGTATATAGTCATTTATACTGTTTTTACATTTTTATGTAACATTCTGTACAAAGAGCAACCTGACAATGACCGTATCAATAGGTAGAAATATCAAATTGTGATTTGAACCGTTGGCTTTCAGTTTTAAAATTTTTACTTCTACTAAAATTTTTTATTAAAATTCTTAACATGATAGCCGCAATTATTCTTAAATTCTTATCACGTGGTTCGTGATGAACGTCTTTTTCCAGAGAATCATGCATGCGATAAGACACCACACTCATCATGCTGTCAGAAGCTTCTTCGAAATTTGTTTACCACTCTTGTAGATCACATCATACTTGTCCCCACTCGCATCTGTAAAAATTCCCCCACCGTCCATTTTACCATCTTGCCACTCGCCGTCATACCGATCTCCAGAAGATTCAGTATCTTTGCCCCAGGTGAAAGTCCCTCGACCGTGCATATTGTCGTTTTGCCACTCGCCGTCATACCTGTCCCCATTGGCGTATGTGTAGATTCCCCGGCCATGCATTTTTCCAACTTTGTACTCACCGTCATACCTGTCTCCATTCGCATATGTGTAGGTTCCTTCACCATGCATTTTCCCCAATTTGTACTCGCCGTCATACCTGTCCCCATTCGCACCAGCTCCTCCGCCGTACATTCTGTTACCTTGCCACTTGCCATCATATCCATCTCCGAACGAATCATTAGCATTACCCCAGGTGAAAGTCCCTCGACCGTGCATTTTCCCGTATCTGTATTCGCCGTCGTACTTGTTTCCATTCGCATATGTGTAGATTCCTTGACCGTTCATTTTCCCAATTTTGAACTCCCCGTCGTACCAGTCCCCATTCGCATACGTGTAGATTCCCCGGCCATGCATTTTCCCCAATCTGTACTCCCCGTCATACCTGTTCCCATTCGCATATGTGTAGATTCCTCGGCCGTGCATTTTCCCCAATTTGTACTCGCCGTCATATTCATCTCCGAACGATTGAGTATCTTTGCCCCAGGTGAAAGTCCCTCGACCGTGCATTTTTCCGTATCTGTATTCGCCGTCATACTTGTTTCCATTCGCATATGTGTAGATTCCTCGACCGTGCATTTTCCCAAATTGGTATTCGCCGTCATATCTATCTCCGAACGATCGCGCATCTTTGCCGCACGTGTAAACTCCCTTACCGTGCACTTTGTCATTGTGCCACTCGCCCTCATACGTGCTCCCACTCGCAAATGTGTAGATTCCTCGACCATGTCTGCCGTCATTTTGCCACTCCCCGTCATACCTGCTGCCATTCGCGTATGTGTAGATTCCTCGAACGTGCATTTTGTCATCTTGCCAGTCGCCGTCATATCGATCTCCGAGCGACTGCGTACCTTTGCCCCACGTGTAAACTCCTCGACCGTGCATTTTGTCGTCTTGCCACTCGCCGTCATACGTGGTCCCACTGGCATATGTGCAGATTCCTCGGCCGTGCCTTTTGCCATGTTGCCATTCCCCAGTATAATGTTTACCAGTGGGCCATATACATACACCTCTGCCGTGGGGCACGTCGTTGAGAGTATCACCTTCATAGTTATATGGAACACTCATATCTCGACTAAAAGAAGAACGAAGATCAGTATTAGATTGAAGTAGAAGGGGAAGAGTTTGTGTCAACTAGAAAGACAGATGAGATCATCTTTTGTTGTTCATGTGACTCTGATTCAAGAACCCTGTTGTCTTCGTCAGAATAAGCCATCGAATACAGATTTATAGTCTCATCTTTCAGGTTGCGACCCATAAAGAAATATCGATCCAGTGGCTCTCCAGACTCGATGGCATGTCTAAACCACGCAGAATGGAGATGCCGTTTCATTCCCATTTTGAAGACGACACTTTCGACTATTTATCGGTCAGAAAAACAAACTATCTCTATGATCTTGTATTCGAAAGAATTTTGAAAAGAATTTTCGTAAAATCAAGTGCGAGATGTAATGTGTGAAGCTTGGTTTCAGAAAAAGTAATTGTCACCTTTTACAGTTACAAGAGTGTTGATCTTTTATTTTTTTACCAAAGTGATTCTCAGTCTGTGGGCTATCTGTTGACTATTTTTGATAAAGATTGTGTGAATTCAATAGAAAAAGTTATTGCATTTTGACTTCTCTGATATCGATGGTACAATACCTGTGAAAATCGCACATATTAGACACATGTTTTCTATTCTTCCTTATTTGTTTTTCCAGGTAAGCGAAAAATTACTTAAGACGGCTGTCATGGCTAGTCAAAAATGTCCTTATGACTGGTCTGGCGTGTCGACATGACTAGTTCAGTTTTTAGAAAGTGTCATGATATGCCATCTAGACTAGTCTCAATGTCTGATTTACCCGTTGTGAGTAGTCTCTTTTGTCGGGTGAACACGTCTAGGCTAGTTCAAAAAAGAAAAACAGATCATAGTTAAAATTCTACAGTGTAAGTTCGAACTCCTAGTCAAAAGAAAGAGCATCACTCTGCATCGGATGCTGAGCATCTCAAGCATCGGAAAACATTTGAACGGCTCTGGAAAGCTCCCGGAGCCGCCTTTCACCCTTGACAGCAGTGATCCACACAAGCTGTAGATGGATATTCTCTGTCTCCTTCTGGTCGTTCGCCACAATAAAATACGAAAAGAGAAAAGGGATGTTACAGACGAGATCTTGTTACAAGTCTGAGACGGTCGGCTGTCAGAGTAGTCTGGGTAAGCACACTGACGCACGCCAATGGCGCACGGTGCTCCGACTGTGTTAACAAAGAGACGAGCGGCAAGACGTCAGTCTGGGACTTGTACGAAGACATTTTGCCTAGTTATCTAAACTAAACGCTAGTTAATCTATAGGTTGGATGGGGATCGTCGTGTGTGTTATGTATACTCCAGCTGATTTTTGAAACTTTTATTAACAGATAACACAGGAGAGAAGACTAATGTTAAAATGGTAAAGTGCTTTCGAACCTTTTCGTCGTTAGCAAATAAGTAAAACGCGCATGAAAAACAGTAATAGGAGACTGGTACAAAAATTCAGTGGTTTAAATTTATATGATGAATCATGTCTTTCTAGCAGTAGAAAAAACGAAAAAATAAGAACGTATGACGATAGATACATTAGCTACAAGTCACAAGTGCAGCAGAACCGAATGAAAATGTGAGAGTTATACGAAAGATGAAAGGTTACATATCAACACGATCAAAATATATAAATATAAAAGATCGATGGACATTATTAAATATATATGTATACATGTATAGAGAAACGTAACTTTCTGGTACAATCGATAAAAAAATGAAAGTGTTCATAAAAATAAATTTGAATGATATGTTTTGTAGATGTATTGTACATGTATGTAGATGTTTGTAGATGTATTCTACATCGTTCGACAGAGAATGATTCGAGCAGTACAGTGAGACTGTGAGCAAATGCGTCAAGCCGAGAAACCGCAGAAAAGTATTTTCATTCTTTCGTGTTAAAATCTAAAAAGTCCGAATTCCGTTATGTGATTCTACTTTCAGAATTATCCATTATTTTAGCAAAGACTAGATTTTCGAGCTTCAAAAATTAGGTAGTCAAACTCACCGCAGTCCGAGGAGCCGACTGGTGTACGGTATTGATGGTTTTCGTTTAGCTTTGACCAAAAATCTCACGAAAAAAGGTTGGTCTACATTTAGTTAAAAACAAAAGTCGGTCTACATTTTCCCCTATAATGT